AGTGGTTGTCTGTACTCTGTTGTATTATATGTGAATTAGTATCCGCTGCTGTTTCTTTTTGTAATGTAATTATCTCTGGCTCTGTATGTATATATTGATACGAATAACGGATAAAGAAAAAGAAAAAAAAAATGAATGATCGATCAGATGAATCCTTTCACTACACGGATCTTGGGTCGTTATACATTTTAGGAAAAAAAAAAAGCTGTGATGGCTATGATGGATGTCAATGTTGACAATAAGAACTATGAATTCTCTTATACAGTAATAAATATACTTTCAATAAATTTTTGGGCTAAAAAGGTGCTTTATACAAGAGCTTTTAAAAGTTATTTTTTTCTATAACAACTTTATAATCAACTTTATAAAAAGCTTCAGCCATTCCAAACGAATCATAAATGACGCTAGAATTTACTATAAATTATTAATCATAATTTATGGGATATATTTTTTCACTTAAATTAGTAAGTAATTAACATTTGGCATAGTTAGCTTGGCAAAGAAAAAGCATACCAAATTTTTACAAAACTTAATTACTCTTATTTCTTTTTTTTTTTTTATAAACCACAATAATTAAACTATAATTTTTTTTTATCAAATTCATTATCAACAAAAACTTATCTAAACAAAGTCTTAAGTGAATATTTTTCAGTTGACTGTTAGCAAAGCATGCCTTTATTTATTTGAGATATGAGTAGGAAAAAAATAAAAAATAAAAAAAATAAAAAAAATAAAAAAAATTGAAAAAAAAAAGATATGAGTACCAAATTTTTTTTTTAATTTTTTTTTTTTTTTTGTGTTTGAACATTATACGTAAGACTTGTCAATATGAATTCTAAACTAATTCCTTATTCTTTGCATAGAAAATTCTTAATTATTAACTACCCTCATAAAAATGTGATTTATTTAAAAACCAAGTTTTTGAAAATCATGATTTTGCATTCACTTATTAATAAAATATTTTTAGGACATTTTGGCCAATTAAGATAAATGCACACACACATCAAATATGCAAACTTCAAATCCAAAATCTCTTTGAATTCGTTTGGGAAGGCTTTCTTGTTGCTTTCTAGTACACAAAATTATAGTTAAAAAAATTTTTGCATTAAAAATCTATTTTAGAAAGTAGTAAGAAAGCTGTCCCACCCAAACTAAGCTTTAGGCTTCGTTTGGGAGGGCTTTTTATTGCTTTTTAAAACGGAGTTTTAATACAATTTTTTTAATTTTTGTACTAAAACTCCGTTTTAGAAAGCAATAAAAAAGCCGTCCCAAGGCTTCGTTTTGGATGGCTTTCTTACTGCTACTTAAAAGTAGCTTTCTTGTATAATTTTTTTTTTGTTATACTAGAGAGTTGTTTTAAAAAATAATAAAAAAGCTGTCCCAAAAGAAGCCTTAGTTGGCAGCCAAAGCTTCGAACCAGTAGATTAATGTGTCTTATTAATGAAATATAAGGGATCATTTGGAGTCAAATTTAAAATAAATATATTTTTTTAAATACATATAATTAAATAGTAGATTTATTAAAATATATTATTTTTAATTAAAAAAAAAAAGTTTATAAGCCTTAGACCTATTCAGCTGCGTGGCCATCTACTGCCCTAAACATCTCTCAATTAATTTCCTTCAACACTTCCAAACTTCTAAACTTGACCCTGAATATAATAGTCCAAGGTGAATTAATAGGAAGCATTGCTGACCGTTGATTAATTAGCACGAATTTTAACGTCCACATGTATCATCCACGCAGCAATTTCTCTCTAATTCTTGAACAATCAACGGCTGTGATTATCTCTTTGTGTTAACTTGCAAAAAGGGTAATTGTTGTGGACCAAGTCTTGGGTCAAGAAAATTAATTTGAAATCCAAATTGACCACTACATTATAAGAAAAATATTTACTACTCAAATTTATTTTATATATGTATATATATAGCTCATAGAAAAACTAGGAATATAAGAATTAATTGGCTTTACAATTTCTCCTCAAGGCATGGGTCATGCTAGCTATGAAAGATTTCCAGCAAGGATTTTGCTCATGGTCTTGCTAGTCTCTAACATTTACGCTCAATTTCCGGCGATGGCGGCGAGGCCGATTGTGCCTCGGGATTGGTGGTCTGAGGACTGGAGTTTATTCTTAGAGTCGCTTCCTAAAGGCCCGACGACTCCCTCGGAGGCTTCAGGGTGCACCAGTAACCCCGTAAATAATGGTGGTATATGTCCTGATCCCTGATCCGTTTTATTTAAGGATCGATCGTACAAAATTTTGTGAAAATTAATCTAGCTCCCTTATAGTTCTTGTTTGAGGAAGAAGAAAATGATTATTTATGGCTTAATGTTACCTAATATGGTACTTTGAAGGTACCTCATTAACTTGTTATTAATAAAGGTTGATTATGGCATATATAATGCTACACATTTAATAAGATTGAGAGTTTAGCAGTTTCATTATTTTTTATAATCAAAAGCTATTTTCTCAGTCTTTTGAAGAAATAACTTTTTAAGCAAATTTTAGAAAATAGTGAAAATTTTGGCATTTAAATTAGATACTATTTAAACAAAATCAAAGATGTATAGCATAGATTTGAACCACTGCTGAATCAAACATGTAATTTACTAAAGTTTTATAAGCCCACTCCTACTTCTATTATTTTTATTTTTTTTTATTTTATAAAAAATATAAAGCAAAATTAGAAGTCTTTAATGACTCCAAAGCTCGATAAAATACAACATTTGAATCAAAATCTAAAAAACCTCGGAATAAATATAATTATAAAAAGGTCCTAAAACACTTCTAATTTTGCTGGACTTATTTAATATATTTATCGAGCTTTTAGATCTAAACCTAATTATTTAATGTATAAAGGCCATAAATATTTATGATCAAATTAAATTTCAATTAAAAAATTTAATTATACGCGTGAAGATCAAATATTAGTTGGCTTTCTATGCTTATATATTATGAACTCGAATTAATATTGGCTGCTTGTGAAGGAAATTAAGAAATCACGATAGGAGCTTTTTAGCGGAAACATTGTGCGGATTAGTGAGTGTGAAGGAGGATATGAGATTGTGTGCAGAGTAGGGGGTGTCAAAATATATTTTTTGGGTTAGGTTCGGCTCAAATTTTAAACTGATTCACTCTTAATACGTCCGACCCATTTGTCTAAGTGGGTTAAAATTCTTGACCCAACACGCTAATTTGGCTGAGTGTGGAAGACGAGCAAGTACGAGTGGGCAAGTGTAGGGGCACGCAATGATCAATAGTGCTAGCGCGAGCATAGGTAGTGTGACGAGTGCGACTATGACGGACGAGATGTGACCAACGGATTGAACAAGCGGGCGACGAACAGGTTGCGCTCGGATTCTCAGGTGGGTTGACTCAAACCCACCCAATATTTCAATCAGGTTGAAAAATTAAACCCGAACATGACCCGTATGTTAAACGGGTCAACTGAAACCTAAAATTTTGATGTTGAATTCACGGGTCGTATCATATATTGACACTCCTAGTGGAGAGCTTGTTCGGAGCAAAGATTGGAAGGGTCAGGGATTGCGAATGAGAAGAAGATGTCATGACAGGTGCTCGCTAAGAACAAGTTGTGGTGTATTCTAAAATCATCATATTTAGAATATTTTAAAATAAAAAAAATGAATTAAGAATAAATTTCAAATTCCTTAAAAAATGAACATTTATTTTTTTAGCAAATCAAATATTTAAAATTTTTAGATCTCTCCAACTAAACCCCACCATTAACTAGTTTACAGGCATTTTTTTTTGCTGTGACATAAAATAATTTTTTTTTTGGAAAATAAAATAAAAATTAAAAACTACAAATATCTCCAACCACCCGTGCCCTCGTCACCAAAAACATTCTTTTGGACGAGTTTTTTTTTTTTTGGAACGGGGGTATCGGCCCGCTGTCATGTCATATTGTGACACGTTTGGCGGTGTCCACTTGTCCCTCGGCTAGTCTAGGGTAAATTTTTAAAACAGTTATCACTATTAATTTAATTAGGTATTAAACCACCAAAAAACATAAATTTAGAAATAGGCAAAGTCGCCCATTGACGGGGCGACTTGCTCAACTTAAAAAAAATAAAATAAAAAAATTTTGGAGAGAGAAAGTAAGAGAGAGAAATAAACTAAAGGGAATAAATTGAACGTGGACATAGAGAAATAAAATAGGAGAGATAAATAAAAAAATTCAAAACTCTTTTTGGTGTTGTGTTGGAGAGGAGGTACATCATAAATTTTTTTTTATTTTTTTTATTAAAATCTTAAATGTAAATAATTTTTTTATTTTTAATAAATAATTTAGAATAAAAAATTTTATGTGCTTTTATTCAATATGTATTATTATTATTTTAAATTTATCTTTTTTACAAAAAAATTATATTTTAAATAAATATTTATCTTTTTTAAAAATAAAAATTTACTTCTCTCCACTTAAGGAGTCGTGCCGTATGAGAGGGGATTTGAACTTGGGATGGGATGTTCCCATCCAAGCACGCCCACCAACCCACCTAAACCCGGTGGGGTTGGACGAGTTTTTCACTTCCCATTTAATCCAATCATATAAACGTTTTATATTATTATGGTTAGGATTATTATTTTACATATATGCAAGCTAAGAAATACATAATATAATTTTTTTAAGATGATAAAAATCGGATAAGACATCGAATATAAAGAAAAAGTGGATGTCATTAATATAAAAATAATTTAGTTAAATTTAAATGATATAATAATAATGTAATAAATAAAATTCATATACATATAATATCTTTGATAATTTTAAATTTAAACACATTTAATATAAATTTAATTCACATAAGATTTTTTTTTAATTTATATTATATTTTAAATATAATTTATACTTATAAGTGATATGCTAAATCTATGTTATATATTTGCCTTTATAAATAATTTATATCATATCATTTATCATTAATAAACACATTAAAAATTATTTTTACAATATATAAATAAAGTAATTGATCAATTAAATAAAATCTCAGTGGTGAACAGTAACTGTGCTTTTACGGTTCACAATCACAAAACCAAATTGTTCTCTCCGTCCGGATTCCGTACGTAATAATCTCTCTTAAGGACCATTGATCATAACTAAACTTAAAGAAAAAAATTGACATTTTTTAAATTAAGGAAATGAGTCCTATGTGACTAAATAATGAATCTTAGATTTTAAATATATAGATAGAAAAAAAATTGCACATCTAATAACCCCTCATGACGCACCTCACTTTGATATGTTGGTTAAGAGCTTTAGGCTTCATTTGGACTGACTTTTTTATTGTTTCTTAAAACAGAGTTTTTAGAACAATAAGAAAGCTGTCCCAAACGAAGTCTTAGTTATCAACTAAAAGATCTTGAATTTAAAACTTATATATATAATAGGTGTACGAGTCCGTCCTAATTGACCTAAATGTCCAAAAAAAACACTGAGTTCCTTCTCTCTAACTCCCTCCTCAGAGCAATTCTCTCCTCTCCACAAGTATTTTCCATCCTATAAACGTACATTATACTCTGTTCTTCCAACAAACCTCCTCTCTCTCTCTTCCTCCCTCGCCGTCGAAACCGTATAGCCATTCCTTCTCCCTCCCCCTTTATATGTATAAAACATTAGAATAAATTCCTCTTCGACACAAAATAAGCGAACGTACAAACCCAACAATGGCTAGCCCCCGCCAAGTCGTCGTCTTTTGGGCGACGGCCCTCCTCGCGGCGGCTACCTTCTTTCTCTCCGGCAACGCCTCTCTCGGCGTCAACTGGGGCACCATCACCTACCACCGCCTCCCTCCCAAAACCGTCGCTCGTCTTCTCCACGACAACGGCATCAAAAGAGTCAAGCTTTTTGACGTTGACCCCTACACCATGGAAACTCTCTCCAACACCGACATCCAGGTCATGATCGCCGTCAACAATCTCCTCCTTGCCGCCATGAACGACTACGCCACCGCCAAAGCTTGGGTGAACGCTAACGTCACCCATTACCGCACTCATTCGAAGGTCAACATCAAATACGTGGCCGTCGGGAACGAACCTTTTCTCAAAGACTACAAAGACCGATTCACAAATGTAACTTTGCCCGCCCTCAAAAACATTCAAAAGGCTCTCGACGAAGCCGGACTGGGCGAGGAAATCAAAGCCACGATTCCGATCAATGCCGACATCTACTACTCGCCGTGGTATAATCCTGTTCCCTCCGCCGGAAAATGGCGCGATGATGTCGCCGGTCTTATGTCCGACATTGTCAAATACTATAATCAAACCGGCGCGCCTTTTACCGTCAACATTTACCCATTTTTCAGCCTTTATATAGACGCCAATTTCCCCTCCGACTTCGCCTTCTTCGACGGAAAGGCGAAGCCAGTCGTTGATGGAGATTTAATCTACACGAACGTCTTCGATGCGAATTACGACACGCTGCTCGCCGCGCTGAAATCGGAGGGCTGCGGCGACGTTCCGATCATCGTCGGCGAAGTTGGTTGGCCGACCGACGGCGATTTACACGCCAACGTATCGATAGCCGAGAGATTCTACAAAGGAATAACGCAAAAGATAGCAAAAAAAACCGGGACGCCGCAGCGGCCTAAGGAGGATATAGAAGTTTATCTCTTCGGGCTATTCGATGAAGAAGCAAAGAGCATACTTCCGGGGCCTTTTGAAAGAAGCTGGGGCATTTTTTCAACCGACGGAAAGCCGAAGTTTCCGGTGGACTTATCGGGCGGCGGAGTGGCCGGAAAAGCGGCTGTCGCGGCGGTGGAAGTTAATTACTTGGCGAAGAAATGGTGCGTTTTGAACAAAGAGGCGAAGCAGGCGAAGAATGAAAGCAGAGTGAGTGCGAATATGGATTACGCTTGCGGTCATGGTGCTGATTGTATGCCGTTAAGTTACGGTTCATCTTGCTCTGGAATGGATTTGGAAATGCAGGCTTCGTATGTCTTCAATTCGTATTTTCAGGCGCTTGGACAGGGGACTGGGACGTGTGTTTTTGATGGGTTGGCGAAGGAGACGACCAAGGATTATAGCAGAGGGAGCTGTAAGTTTGAGATTGGGATCAAGGCGTATAATCTTGGTGAAGTGGAGGCGCCGGCGCCGGCCCCGGTGGAGCAGGATGAGGATTCTCCGGCGAAGGTACATGGTAAACATGCTCATGTTGGAAATGAAGCTTCTGAGGGTAGGAGGAGAAGCATGTGGAAGGTTGGATCAGTGATAATGGCGTTTGTTTTGGCTGGATTTTTGTTAGATTAGCTAAGAATGGAGTTGGAAAGGATTTTTTTTTGGTTTGGGAGTTTGTTTGTTCTGTGGTTTGTGCCTGTGGTCTGGCAGATATTCCCAAGGAAAGAAACAAAAGGGAGATGACCGGTATTGTTATTTTTATTTTTATTTTTTTATTTTTTATTTATATTTATTAAGAGCTGATGTTGTTCGATTGCAGATTTTCTGCCGATAAATTATTTATATTATATAAGAGGAGAAATGTATGTGGTATTTTTTTGTGCATATATGGTTTTGAAGAGGAGCTGAGGGTCAAATAGCGGAACAATTATTGTGTCTTCTGACCGGACGTAGAGCTATATTCAGCTGCCAATAATATGTCGTCACATGCTCTTACTCTTTATCACGCGGACCGACGACTTGACTCGGACCGGAACCCAGGAATGCTATGTTCGCGTATTGCGAGGTATTACTCGGTATTTGCTCGGTATTGCTTGACAATAATGAGAAATACCGCTATGTGAAGACAAATACCGAGTAATACCGAGTTGTACCGAGTTTTTCTAAAAAAAACTCGGTATTTGCTATAAATACCGAGTTGTACCGAGTTTTTTAGAAAAACTCGGTATTGCTCGGTATTTGCTCGGTATTGGTAATTGCCAAGCAAAATCGATCAATACCTAGCAATACCGAGTAATACCGAGCAATACCTAGCAAAATCGAGAAATACCGAGCCATCCTGGGTCCGTTCAGGGTCGGGTTGTCGGGCAGCGCGGTAAATAGTGAGAACGCGTGGCGTGATTCTATTGGCGGCCGAACGTAGAGCTATGTCCTGTGACCAGACGAAATAAAAGTTCCAAATAGCGATAGCGTCTTATAAATGTAGTCGTGAAGCTTTTATGAAAAAAAAAAAAATCTTTTTTTGAAAATTATTTTGAGGTTTTTATTTGATTTTTTTTTTTTTTTGAGACATTCGAATCATTAAGGCAAAATCAAACATATCACATTAACAAGCTTCACATCTAAAATTTTTTAATTGATAGTCAAAATCCTAAATCAAAAGACCAAGATGAGCCGTATAAGCATTCTTTTTTACTACTACTTTTAAAGTATTTATTTTTCAAACATTTCGATTTCATTTAAAACAACTCTTAGTACTTCTAAGGCAACTTTCTCGTTCAAAAAGTTTTTGTCCTAAAAAAAACTTTTTTAAAAAACAAAGTCTTCTTAATTAAAAAAATTCTTATTTAAAAAAAAAATTCTATTAAAAAATTACTTTATGAAGCAATAAAGAAATAAGAATATTATTGCAAATAAAACCTGTATATTATATATATAATCAAACAATTGGTTTTTAAAAAGTAACATACATAAACTAGTAATAAAAAATAGCTTCTTATCACAAGAATTTTTTGAAAGCAGCAAGAAAAGAGTAATAAAGTAGTCAAATAAAAGCAGTATGAAAAAATAATAAAATTATCTCAAATAGATCCTTAGTTATTTAAATAAAAACGAATTTATTTAAACGAAGATGTATTTTATATATGAATTTACAAGAAGGAAGATAAATAATTTTTACATTAATCAAAATCAATTCAACTTGAATGGCATCTTACATCTTTTATTGTAATTAACACTGTATTTTTAATAGCTCAAACATGATTGATTTTTTTAATGTTCAAATAACCTGCGAAGAATTTTCACCCTAAACTATTAGATCCTGAATTCTTTCACATTTGTAATTGAATATACACCCATTCAAATTTTAGATTAAAACTTCGTTTGGGACGACTTTTTTACTGCTTTTAAAAGCAACTTTTTAATATAAAAATTTCTTAAATTAAAAACAAAATTGTACTAAAAAATTACTTCATAAAAAAAAAAAAAAAATCGTCCAAAACGAAGTCCAAGGCTTCATTTGGGACAGCTTTCTTATAACTTTTTTGTACAATTTAGCGAAAGTTATAAGAAAACTGCCGCAAACAAACCAAACCCTTCAAGTAATGTACGTAGGGCACCTTATCCACAATGGCTTCTCCATTTTCATGGTGATAAGAGAATATCCTTCCTATATGCAAACAAATCAAAACCCTTCAAGTAATGCATGGAAACATTTGTACAGCGAGCTTATTTACAGTACATTGCATATTACGTGAACTATACATCAATCCAACACCTGAAGAACTTCTTCTTATCGTTAATAACACATACCATTTTATGGTATCTCAAAGCTGTTTCTTCTTCAAAATTTCATAAACTACTGCATTACAGAGTTGATAAATACTTCATCAATATCCCACCAAAATGTCTTTGGATAGAGCCAGAGGGGTGCCCCCTTAATAGAAAGCATAATGTACCTATATGTTGCAAAACACTGCATCATTAAAGAACATTCTATCACTATAATCAATCAATATTAGCATTAGAATGATTATCTTACGATCCAACTAAATTGTCATTATATTTAGGTATGCTTGAGATGACTTTCTTACTGCTGCTTAAAACAGCTTTCTAGTGCAAAAATTTTATTTTTTTTGCTAGAAAGCTACTTTAAGAAGCAGTAAGAAAGTCATCCCAAACGAAACCTTAGCCATTGAAACCACATTAAGCTGCCAATGTCTACTAGAACCACCCTTTATTTGAGTCGTCTACAATCTTTTCATTTAAGTTTTAAAGCAAGAAAAATATTCCGTCATTATTTTTTTTTGTTGGTTTTATTAATTCTTTTTTGTTGCTTTTATTCTGGTAGTTCTATTAGCGGGTACATTAAATTCCTTATTCCTATTTTTATTGTGTGATTTTTATGGAAGGAAGCAATACGGCGAAGCATCAAGGAGTTAAAATGAATCATATCATATTAGAGTTTCTTATGATTAAAACATTATGATATGCATTTGATTCCTTCTAAGCAAATCAGGGTTTTTATAACCTGTTAAGTTTCAACAATTTCATGAAGAAAATATTATTTTTTGGATTAACCCTAATTTTAGCATCATTAAAGTTAATACATACTGTATGATCCAAAATAACTTGGCAGGTAGATGGAAGCATATTTAGAGGCTATCTTGATAGCATTATTCTTGCTTTTGCTACCCACTTAAATACCTTTTGTTTTTTTAGCAGAAATCACGGCTATTAACATGGCTTCTTAATTTTGGATTCAAATGGGTGCTCTTTTGGTCATTAAGCATATAAAATAGCAAAAAAAAAAAGTGAGAGAGAATGCCACATCCTTTTATACACTCAAATGTACTTCTCAATTCCTTGACTCTTTGCAATATTTGATTTCTCATATCTAAAGAGAAGGTAATTCATGTGCTAAGTAGTTGGTTAGTTAATTTTGGTGCTAATTTGAATACTATTATGAATTTAGTTGGGCTTAATATTCCTAATCATCTTAAGGATTTAATTCATGTTTATAAAATGGGTTTGCCTTATTTTAAGGGAGATGGATAATTTTATGTTTATTCAAAGCCTTTGCTTTGCCTGAGTTTGTTCTAATCTGTTTTGTTTTTTGGCTTTGGTGTTGCTAAGATAGCTATGATAATAAGAGTCATATGACTGAATCTTTTTAGAGTGCTTGCCATTTTATACCTAACCTAGTGCTCTTCTGTGTCGTTGGGTATAAATTCATATCTTGTAGTGCTTATAAGCAGAACTAGTTTTCTGACACTATCCTCAGGTTGTTGTTGATAGCGAATGGCAGGACTCTATACAATCTTTCACTTGATGAGCCTAAATTGGAAGCTATGATATTTATTGAAGATGATATAGAAATTCAAAGACAAACCACTGAAAAAGCTAATCCTATCAATCCTTCTATTGAATAGTTGAAACTTGATGTGCTGGATAATTTATATTTTTGTTTTTATTTTTGTAATAGACATTTAAATATTTAATGCTTACTTTTATTTTGATATTATAAGATACAATGCTACAAATAATGTTGCTTTCAATTTTTTTTGTCATTTCAAATATTACGCTTTGATTACTTTCTTAATTTTTATGTATGATTTATATATTATAATGTTGTATCCACGCCGTATCCATATCCTATATTTTTAAGAATTGGCGTGTCACGTATCCGTATCATGTTGTATCCGTGTCACCATATCCGTATCGGTGCAACATAGTATATACCATTAGAATTATTAACTTCTTCCTGGAGTAGTTTCCTTTAGTAGTAGATGCTCTCATAATTTAAGGCAGTTTTTTAACCTTATCTGAGCTTTAGCTTTACCACATTTCTCATAAATCAAGTTTTATTATCTACTTTTTATAATACAAAGGCTTTCTGTTGCGTTGATAATGGTATGGTTGTTTTGTTGGATGTTTATTTAAGCAGCTAGGATCGTGTTGTGCTCTCAATTATGAATAGAAATCTGTATTGTACTGAACTTGGTGATTCTTATAGTCATAATTCATGAAGGTGACCGTTTCTATGATATTCAGATGAATCTGTAGGTTTAATATGTTGATTGTCGTATACTTCATTTTTAACTTGTTTATTTTTGTTGTACAAGGTCTTTTATTCATTCACGGGAGGCATTATTGTTGGCTAGATTACTATTATTGAATTGTTGATTCTTTCGCCGCTTTGGAAACAGATGTTGGATTGGCTGTTGTTTTCCTTCAGATTTTGTCGCCTGGATTTATCTTACCCTATTTTGATCAAGGTGGCTAACTGAGCTTGATTCATTTGTAATGGTTGGTTGGAGGCTCTTTCAAATAATAGTCTTAGACCATTCGTTACTATTTTTTTGTTCTTTTCTATAGCCTTAGTGTATTAGTCAATAATTAGCCACTTATCTTTTTTATCTATTCTTGTAGTTTTCGTTTTTTTTAAACTGAGGATTGATTTTTCAGTTGAAATGTTAAATTGAAGATATGTAGATAGCTTATCATAGTGTTTGGTGATAAGTTCAACCTTTTGTGTATATTTTTCCCAATATTAATAAAATTTTAGTTTTATTGCTTATATATATATGATCAAGGAATTGGATGCCAATACCTTTTTGAGGAATAGTTTGCAGCAATGGTAGATCGAAAGTTTCATATGAATTTAGGTTTCTAGGAAATAAAATAACACTGAGAAAGAAATTTCAAGCCATGCTGATATGCACACATATCACAAATGAAGAGAGTTTTAATTATAGCTTACAATAGTTCTAATCTAACAATATGATAAACAAACAATATTTCAAACCTGGCTAGTTGAGCAAGCAAGTACCACAAATCAGATCACGGTTGCTGCCTGCATGTTGGACAAAACCATTTCCCTTTGAATCTAGTCTCCGGCGTCAGGCCTACACATGAATAGTGAAACCATTCGCCTCCCTCGCACTGCCAATAAAACATGCAAGAAAAATTAGGCAGACAAATTAAGTTCAATTCAAATGTACAAAAAGATTGGCATTTGCCCGCACAGTTCTGAACGGGCCACTATGTTGACACAATATAGCCTCATTAGGCTTAGTGTTGCGTCTACTACGGGAGATTGCTCTCTTGAAAACTAACAAATTCTATCCAAGCACGATTTGCTTAGTGATTCTATGAGAGGATCTCCATCCGTGAATCACAAGTAGTATTAGATCAATCAAGGATCATTATTAAGTTCTTATCTTGTTTAATATGATATAAGATGCGGATAAAATATGCTCATATAGATTTGTAGAGATGTCCTAATGAACATTTTATAAATATGATATAATTCTACTACATGAGACCTCTACTAAAACAAATAGATGTTAGAACACTCATAAAATGTCTATAAGGAACCCAAGTTTGGTATGACAAATATTAAATATTTCATATGCACTTTTCATGGGGTGAAATTAAGAATTATGAGTCAGTATTACTAGACGATCAAATGATGCCTACACATGAAACATTTTAAGTAACTTTGATTCATTATACATAAGAATGAGACATAGATGAAAACATAACTCATCAAATTGAAACTAGGTGATTAAAATGAAGAAATGCTGCAAAAAATTCTATTTGATATTAGAATATCATAGAGATTTAAAAGCTAAATTTTACCAAAAATAAATAAAATCGATCAATTTAACAATGTTATATCTATTTTATTGTTGAGCAATAAACAAATTCAAAGAAACAAAATTTAGATTGGCAAAATGATAATATAATAAGACTAAAATGGAAATACGTCAAGGTTAGAAAGGTAGTTTGAGAAATGATTATATGAAACAATTGGAATAGCATCTACTGTATGTGAAAAATAAACTTAGATTTGTTGTCCATGTAGAACAGAGGATATAACAAACACGAATAAGATACACAAATACAGTTGTTTACTGAAATCTCAAATAAAGAGTTGCCCTTTCCGATGTTCCATATCTATTAATATATCAAGGAAGTTCAGGGCCAATTATAAATCAGGAAGCAAATATAGGTAAAACAGGACAGGGGATTAGAATGGACAATGCTTAAAAATGAAAAAAAAAAAATTTGAGAAGAAAATTAGCAGAGTAAACTACAGAAAAAAAGCAGAAACGCACATTCTCATTATCACATGCGATCATGTCTCCAAAAGACACCTGCAGAAAGAGAAACACAGACAAAGCCATAATAACCAGAACTATAAGGATTACAAAATTGAATATGTAAACATGAAAAGACAATTTGAAAACCTGGTGACAAACACAATAAGTTGGTTCATTAGGATCAATGGATTGATCAAAGTCAGAAGCCGCAATAACAGATTTTTTATGACTTCCCGGAGGAGGCATCAGCTCAAGATCCATCTCTCTCTCTCTGTCCCAATCCCTTCCTCTAAACCTCTTTGATTGAGGTGTTATATACCCCCCCTTGCGTTTCTCCTCCCTGCCAACCATAGGTAAAGGTGGAAGGATTGCTGGTTCATCTAGTGGTATTTTTCCCTCTGTTTTAGAAGTGAAGTCCAAGCATACAAATCAACTTATGAACTAAAACATCAATATTTGTCAAAATGCATCAATTAATTGACAGAAAGAATTCTTTAATGTGAAAAAAAAACTACTACTACTAATACTCTACACCACGCAATTCTTTGAATTAATCAGCACTAAAGTCTTGAGAAAATAAAATCATTTAACAGTTAATTAGCATCAACTTGAGTTGCAGCAAAAATCATCAACCCGAAAGACCACATGGATGACAATTAGGACTTGCATCATACCTTGCTTTAAATCTTCAGCAAACTGATTCAAGTCCTCATCGAGTCTTTTCACATGGCTCTCTAACTTCATAAAAAAGCAAACATGAAAGTTATGAAAACACTAAATAGGCGACATAGGAGATCCTAAAGTTTCTAATGCAGATCTGACAAGAGAAGAGAAAAATCACGCAACAGACAATTTTCGAAGGACACAAGTGATACAAAAGACCTAATGGGCTACATTGACGAAAGCAAATAGCATAATATAAATCAAATCAGATGAATTCAATAGAAAGAGTTTATCAAATCTAATAAACACAAATACACTTTTAGACCTATAACAAAATCATAAAAGGAGGAAAAGAAGGAAAAGAAAATGCAAATATAAAAGAACTCATCAGAAGTGCAACCCTCACATTTATATAAGGATATAACAAGTTCTAAAATTTTCGAAGTATCTTACCTAATCAAGAAATTGAATCTAGAATGATGAAGAAAATGAACATCCAATTTGAAATTTTATTTATCCATGGCATTGAGTTTTGTGCATACCTCAGACACCTTATCATAGAATGAATTGATAATTCTCTTTCACTGATCACATATGTGCTGCCTAATCCATGTGAATAATCAATTATAAAACCGAGAAAAAATGGAGAAAAGTTCAAAATAATCCTCAACTATTCATAGGCCAATTTAGCCCTAGAGTATCACATTTCTCTAATTTAATCCATCAAACCTCTCCCAAAATTTAAGTCTCTCACTTGATGAAGGAACTAAATCCTGAGACTAGAAGGAAAATTTTACATCCAATTTAAAATTTATTCAGCAACTCCATTGAATTTTGTGCAAGAATAAGACCGTATGCATAATCACAAAATAATTGGAGAAATCCCTTCCACAAATTGCAAAAATGCAGCATAATTCATGTCATAAATCCAAGAAAAAATGAATAGAGTTCACAGATGACCCACAGAAATCAGAATTTTCAAAAAAATGAGTTTGTACCTAAGAAATCTACATAAATGACAAAAAAAAAAGAAAAAAAATCTTAAAAGACATAAGCAATAAACAAGAGATCAGCCACAAGTAATCTTCTTGGCAACAACAAGCCAGGGATCCAAGTACAAATCAAACTTTTATGACAAGGTAACATAGTAGGCATGCATATACAAATTACTGTTAAAATTCAAAATAATAGAAGAAACTATAATTAGCTAAATTCAAATAGACATTAACCTTTCAATTGATCATTGTAATGCAAACATTCTACATTTTCTATGATTGCGGGACTTTGAGATTGATATCATTATGGAATAGAGAAAAATATCAAAATGGTCAATTGACTATTTGGCTAGGGTCATTTTAATTCTAACTATCTTGAGTATTCAATTTGATCCACCGACTCTTCAAATATGTTCCAAAGAAATCCAATAGAATGATTGTTCTGGATTATATTCGATAGTCAAAGATCATATTTGAAGTTTGAATGGACTAAATTGAACATATTAGATAGTTTGGAGCTAAAATGGCTCCCCATAAATAGTCTAAAGGTCATTATAATCTTTTTCTCATATGGAATATAGCTATCAAACATCATATTTACAATGAACTCTTAGGTTGTAATTTTCAGTACAAACAAAATACGGTTTTAACAATATATAACATAAATAAAACCTACAAATATCCAGCAATTTGAAAAACAAATTATTAGTAAACCATGAATAAAGGAGAATAAATGACAAATGGTTCCACATGTCTTAAAGCAGTAATATAGTCTTTCTTTTAAGGTTGGTTGGGTAAACCGATTTTATATTGTAAACTTGGTCTATCCAAGTAGTATAAATACCAATCTTATTGTAATGATAGACTCATGGAATGAATAATTTCTGGTTTATCCCTATTCTTGATATGGATCAAGAAGCATATCAACATCATAGTTACAATGGACTCTAGGTCATAATTTCTAGTAATTCAACATATAGGTTTTAGCAGTTTATAACACAAATAAAACCTACTAAATTGAGCAATACTAAATTGAGCAATTTTGAATGTACAGAAAATGAATAATTAGTAAACATGAATAACGGAGACAAGAATAGTATGATAAGCTAAGATAATTAAAAATACATATATCCAACATTGGCAATGTATAGTATATAAAAAGGACCAATTAGTTTACGCTAGAGGAGTCATCTTCACTATTAGCCTCATTCTAATGATTTGGAGCAGACTTTATGAATCCTCCATTCATTCAAAACAATAAATAAACACAATAAAAACAATTTGCACATTTATAGGCTTATAAAGTAACAATTTTTTTAGCTTTGGGTAGATTAAGCATTATTATATGTTTGTAATACATAAACTTTATTAGTCAAGAGTGAATTGTGAAGAATATTTGGAAAGTGAAACTTGTGGGTTTATATACCTTGCGAGCTATTTTTCCTCTACCTCCCTATCTTCTAAAACTTCGTCTAGGGCTTCTATCTTCTTCTTCTCTCCATGGTTCTCATTCCACATGTATCTTTCTTCTCGAAGCTTTGATTAGTCGTATGGTGTTGTTGTGTCCTTTTTTTTTAAAGTTGTAAGGTGTTGTGCCCTTTTATTTGAATTTGTAAGATGTGGTTGTTTTTGTTTAAGTTATTGTGGGATATAATAGTGTAGTTTGTTCTATCTGTGTTTGTCTATGTTTTAAGGAAAAGAAATCTTTAGTTTGCAATTCTAGTGTTTTTTAGATTCATCATTATTAGAGGTCGAGTTTGTGGATCATCATTTTTCATTTATTCCTACTGATGTTTCCTAAAGTGTTGAACCTGATCTTTCCCAAGTATTTTGAAAATTTTCTATTGATGTCATCCTAGGTCTACCTATATGCCTTCCTAATCCTCTAATATTAATTTTACCAACACAAAAAATGGGAGCAACTACTATAACTCATTTTTCAATATTCAATAGAGTCGCTATAATCATTCCTTTAATATAATCATTCATGAATGTATCCTAATTTTGCCATAAATCTATCTTAACATTCTCATTTTATCCACTCTCGACTCGATATTATAACTTTTTTTAATGTCCAACACTCATACAACATATTTGGTCTAATTATAATTTTATAAAACTTACTTGCATCGTAACGAAATTATAAAAAAAATCATTGCAAAGTCATCAATTGGCCTCTTCAATGCTTTTATACACATACAAACCACTAAATTCTAGAAAATATTTTTTTTTAAATAAAGTATAATGATTACTTTTATTGAATGATAATAAATTATTGATAACTAGGTTGAGTGTAGTAAATATGATAGAGCTAAAGAATGAACGGTAAAGCTATTAATGATAAATGGAGAAAAAATTATACTATGAGACTACAGGAATAGCACCATGAGATAAGATACTAGAAAATAGGCTCAATTAGTTTTTACATATAAAACTGAGGGCAGATGCACCAATAAGATGAACAAATACAGATAATGTGGAAGGGTTTGAAAGGAAAAGGGTAAACCACTAAAAGCATGGACAAAGGCTATGCAAAATTTGCAAGTAGATTTAATGAGCCACTCAACACTAGCATGAATGAATGGAGATTATAATTCATAAAGTAGCCCTAAACCATTAGGATAAGGAAGATTATGATTGATTTCTTTAAAGTAATGCCAAGGAACAAACAAGAAAATGAAATGCCTCGACATGCACAAAACACAGTTATTTTAGGCCTCATTAAAATCAATTGCATCTGAAACAAAATATCAAAACTTCAGCTGGCAGATTCATCCTATCTAAAAATTGAACGCATACAAGTGGAGCTTTTTCTCTTTAAATGTTAACGGAAAAAACAGATGGCTAAGGGCTTATATCAATCTCTAATAAGCATAAACTGATAAAGCTTGGGCTAAAATTTCATTTGATTATCTATAATTGTAGTGTTGTATATTACTCAAGGCCCTCCAAAAGTACCTCAAACGCTCAAAGGATATGTGCTAAAGAAAATCTGGTATGAGGTAAAAAAAAGCAAATCAGTACACAATTTGCTTGTATAAATAGCAACTTGCGATTTTGTCACATTGTACAGAGCAAAGTATTTGTACAGCAAGAATCTAAATCGCATCAGTAGCCATACCCTACTATTTGGGACAGCTTCATAAATCCTCGTTTTTATTCATTCTTGTTGAGTGATATATTATTTGTAAAAGCTATTTCGTACAAAATCATTTTAGATACTTCTAACATGCTATCTTAGATCTACAACTTTTCCCCTCAAATCCTTTGACGCTAATTTTATTTACTAGTCTACTGGGCACATTTTCTAGAATCAACTTATTTTCAATCGACGCTACCGCCACAATCTCCCTAATATACTCATTCCTCAATTTATCAAATTTAATTTTGCTACACATCCATTTTAATATTCTCATTCTAGAATCCTTGATGTCGCAATCAATGACTTCATTACTCCCAACCATGAAATCTATAGAGCATAGTGGGACTAATTATAATTTTATAAAATTTACGATTAGGTTTTGATGATAGTCTCTTATTATACGATACTTGTGTGTCAGTTCTCCAATTCAATAGCAACCTTAATTTTACCAAAGAATATCCATATCTAAATCCTCATTATTCTATATAATGCTGAGAAAACTATCCAACATTGGAAATAGAATAAGAATAAGAAGCAAAAAAAAAAAGCCAAAATGTCTAATAATTTTGTCAAATATAAAGAGTAAACATGAGAAAAATTATTTTAAGCAGGCAAACAAATAATAAAGATCAAATAAGCTTTTTCCATGAAAGTCGGTGGTTTCAGCTTAATGAAACATGAAGTAAAAAATATATTGAGAATTGAAGCTGTGAATAAAAACTCTTAGTGCAAAGCATATGAATAATTAAAGTAGATAGTTAAAAACATCAGGCCTTTATCCCACTGTGGGGTCGAATACATGAATCCTTTTTCTCCATTGTGCCCTATTAATAGTTAAATTCTCATTTAAATCTAATAAATAAATGTCATTTCTAATATTTTCTAACCAAATCTTTTTAGGTCTATCTCTACCAATCTTAACATAAGTCAAATCTAATACATCTACTTTCCTAACTGGGTCATCGGAAGGCTGTCGTTTTATGTGACTAAACCATCTAAGGTGATTCTCTCTAATCTTATCTTCCACTAAAGCTGCTCCAACCTTTTCACGTATATGTTCATTTCGTATCATGTCTTTAAGAGTAAAACCACTCATCCACCAGAGCATCCTCATCTCTGCAACACTTAACTTTATACTATACTTCTCTTTTAATGGCCAACATTCTGCACCATAAAGCATTGCAGGTCTAACCACCATCCTATATAATTTTCTCTTAAGTTTGAGGGGAACTTTTCTATCACACCACAAGCTCGATGCATTCCTTCACTTCAACCATCCAACTTGAATTCTACTAATAATATCCCCATCTATTTCACCATCATTCTGAACAGTATATCCAAGATATCTAAAACATGTACTCTTATTAATGACTTGATCACCCAAAGTCATAATCTTCCCATAAGAACTATTATTACCAAAATTACGCTCCATATATTCAGTTTTAGATATACTCAAATGAAAGCCTTTAGACTCTTAAGGTTGATTACCATAATTCAAGTTTACCTTCAACTCCCTCTCTAGTCTTATCAACAAGAAGAATATCATCAGCAAAAAGCATACGCCTGGATACAAACTCTCGCAAATTTTAACACTGTCGTTGTCATGTCCCAAGTCCTCGATGAGAAAAGTAGATGGTTGCGTTAAGTAGTCGACGGCTAGCGTAAAACTTATCGAATAATCATGACATGTAGCTAGTAACAATTTTAAAAAAAAGAGGCACCAATAAGTCACCAACCAACTTGAACAGAATAAAAACAACACTTCAACATAAAATAGCATAATCATCTAAGGTATATGATAATTACTTGTACTTTAACCATAGCAAGTTCTTCAATAACTTAAAGAAAAAAAAAACTGCAAGTATTCAAACAAATGGTAAAACAATTGAACATACCTACCTCTCTACACCTGTTCTTGGAAAAATTGCTCTATTTGAAATAAAGAGGAAGTCCTTACGAGATCATAAGCTTGTTTCGCAAGCACCACCTTCTCAGTACAGAGGCTCAGTGCATTTTCTTGGTTAGCCTCGATCTCTTTTTTTAATTTTTCAAGTTCTGAATCATCATCTTCATCATAACTTGTTTTCTTTGAGCTTTGAGCATGCATTCCGATGTAGTATCTTGTTTGATCTCTTGATTGGCTAATAATACCTTCAATAAGAGAAAAGTAAATATGTTAATGATAAGCAGAAGCAAATAAAAGGTAATTTAAACATGTGAATAAATTACTGGTTCAGATCAGAGTTCTCTTGCTAAAAGTTATAAAAGGTAATTTAAACATGTGAATAAATTACTGGTTCAGATCAGAGTTCTCTTACTGAAAGTTTCTATCCAGAATTACATAATAGTGTTGCGAAAACCTTTAAAAATAATATCACAACTGAAAATGATGATATCCTTCTAATATTCTACAAGAAAAAAGTATGCCATAAGTACAGCAACATCATCATTTGTCAGTTCCAACTAAGTACAACACTTAGCGAGATCAACCCAAGAAATATGAGGATCTATACCTGTCATAAAAGAATACCATAACACCAGAAAATCATTAAAAATAATATTTTTAAAATGCATCGTGTAAATAACTTCAGGTTGAGTGCTACATGAGGTATTTTATTCAGCTCGATTCCAAGAAGGAAAAGGGATTGTTTAGTTACTAAGTATTAGGAGTGTAGAGTAAATTAAATGAAATCTTAAAATTTCAGGTATCTGGTTAATAGAGAAGCAAATTCAAAGTATGTTATTAAGGGATTTGGAATTCTCCCATTAGTTTATTTTTGGTGTATATAGAATTCAATTAATTTGGACGAATTCTGAATACACCATGCAATGATGCAAGTAAACATCTCCATGGAGATACCATGCACCCACAACACGAACAACACCAACATCCTCTCCACCAACGACTATTTTGATCTCCATCCTCGCCAAAATGGCACCAACTTCCATGACCACCGAAGACGTCGACCTCTTCCCTCCATGTCCTCCACGACCGCTATCCTCACAGGGACGATATCAAACTATATAACCTCCAACGAAACCGCAACCACCATGGTCGCTAGCACACAAACAAGTCATGGTTAAGATTTGTTTTTTTTTTAAATTTAAATCCATTTATAGTCCAACCAAACACAAAACTGTTCTATTGAATTTCTTTTAAATTGTATTTAGAACTCTCAGGATTTCTAAATACTTGCAACCAAATAGCCCCTACATTTACTACTACAACAACAACAACACCAACAACAACATCAAGTCTTTATCCCACTATGTGAGGTCGGCTACATGAATCATTTTTCTCCATTGTGTCATGCTAAGAGTTAAATTCTTATTTAAATCTAATAACGAAAGATTATTTCTAATATTCTCTAACCAAGTCTTTTTAGGTCTACCATTACTTTCTTAACATAAGTCAAATATAATACATCTACTTTCCTAACATGGTCATCAGAAGGCTGTCATTTTATGTGACCAAACCATCTAAGGAGACTCTCTCTAATCTTATATTTCACTGGAGCTACTCCAAGCTTTTCACGTATTTGCTCATTTCATATCTTGTCTCTAAGAGTAAAGCCACTCATCCACCTGAGCATCCTCATCTCTACAACACTTAACTTAATATTATGCTTCTATTTTAATGGCCAACATTCAGCACCATAAAGCATTGCAGGTCTAACCACCATCTTATAGAATTTTCCCTTAAATTTGAGGGAGACTTTTTTATCACACAACATGCCCCTACATTTACTAATCCCATAAAATTTCATCTATTCTTTTACTGACAATGATAAAACACACAAAGCTCAAATTTGATTTCTACTAATGCTAGCTCCTTGCTATTGGGCCTTCAAGGATTTCCTCCCAAGAGATATCCATCTTCCCCTAGCTTTTCTTTAACAATGTCATCATGAGACTTCTATTCTCCCCCCCTATAGGTTTTTTTGTTGATCACTACCCCCTATTAAGCTCCAGTACCTTCATTCCCTTGTTATCATGCTATGAGGACTTCAGCAATCAAATCTTTAATGATTTTTCATTTTCAATTATGATGCACTGAAACGCTTTCTTAAAGGATATGCAATCTCTAACATGTGCTGGACACAAACAAGTGTCCTATGCGTGTCTGACAAGCGTCAAACACACCGAGATGTGTTCGGTTAAAATAATATAAAATTTTGGACACTCATGTAATAAATATTTTTAATATTTTTAAATATAATTGATTATTCCGTAATTTTTTTTATTAACTAAAAAATAAAAACTATTTCAACTATTTCTCCATAACTGCAATGAAACACTCACCAGCATCACCTTGAATATTTCCTTTGTGACTTGAAACTAAGGTTTAACTTCAACGCTCGACAGCAACATCCAACAGTGCCTCGAAGTCCATGCCCAACACCAGTAATTTCTAAACCCACAATCACGCCCCTGCATTGTATTGACATCTTCATATCTTGATGAAGATGTCCAAAATCATCTCAACTTTGATGAACAATGCCCTCTTGACATCCATGCTCGACGTCCAATACATGACATCAAAGTTCGATTCTCGACAACATTATCATCTCTCCTCTCAGTGCTAAAACTTGCAACTAAGGTTTCAAAACCAGGATGCATTTCTCTCATAGTCCACTGTGCATTGATGGTAACATATATTTCTCCCCAAATTAAGAACTTCTTTTTATTATTTTCATATTAAAAATATTATAAGAAATATTTATCCTTTTGCTTGAAAATTTAGTTCCGCCAAAGAGACAAAATAATGAGAGGCAAGACAAAGGTGAGAGGAAAATTAGAATGACAAAAAGTAATTGTAGTTTTCAATCCTTGCTTCTTGGATTTCACATGTTCTTCTTCACACACAAATTTAGGTTTTTAAATTTTCAATGGTATAATAATTTAAATTTAGGATTTTATGTTAATTTTGAAATGTTCAATAAAAACATAATAAGCTCTACTACTCTAGCAATGGTTAATTTGAAATTGGTGATTGTTCAGTAGAGCCTAATATTGAAGACAATAAATCTGTATGGAATCATGTAACTATACTGGGAAAATCTTTTGAAGTGGAGAAAATATTGTATTTTAATGCAATTATTATAGTGTCACTTACAAAGGCTCATATTATAGAGTGAAAACACATTTATCAAAGAAATTACTCATGGAATTAGAATTTGCCCTAAAATAAGTGTTTTACTGTTGAACAAAATGCAAACGCACCTCAACAAAGTTGAGTAAAAGATTAAAATGAATCATCCAAAAGAAATACAATTGCCTAATACATATGGTTTGTCGTTCTACTTTTTCTTCTATTCGAACTGATGATATCAATGTCAGTATATATTCATTTAGGATGGAAAAAAAGTTTAAGAAAAAAAGGTATTGCAGATAGTCATTTGAGGAAGACATTTAAATGGTAAAATTGCAATGATGTTTTTTCTCAAATGGCCTCCCCTATAATCCCTCATTAGAAGTATACATTTACTTTTGCTTGTAATAACAGTCTTGTAGGTTATGTGCCATAAAGGTACAATGCAATGAGATTAAAATTATTACAAAGGGAGTGGGAAAGGTCCAATATTGATTAAGTTGCTTGAACTTACAAAAGGAGTATAGAAGAAAAAAGGAGTGAGTTTGGTGTGTGATAGTTGAATTAATCATTAAAAATATTACATATCAATTTTATAGCATTATCAGAGAACTACCTAATGTTTATTAAAGTTATAAATTCTGAAGGGCAATATAAACATATGTTATTTATTTTTAATTTGATTGTAGGAGTGATCATGATGGTTAGCTCTTCAGAAATTCTTAAAGTTATTACTAATAATGCTCTAATTTGTAGGGCAACAAGATTATTTGTTGAGCAAATATATCCTCACATGTTTTGAATGCCATAAGTTATGCATACCCTCAATCTTGTTTTAAAGAATAATTATACAAGTTCAAAAAATTGAGGCAAACGAAATCACTTACAATGAATATCATTAGATCAGAATGGTTGCTGGAAATGCTATTTTGATTAGAAATTTCATAATGAATCGCTCGATAAGACTTTTTATCTTCAATGATACCTTAACTTTGAAAATGCTTGTTGTAGCTGAAACTCATTTCACTTCAGTTGTCGTGATATTGAGAAGATTCAAATAGACTAAAAATGCACTTCAATCAATAGTAATTAGTAAGAAATGATCATGTTATCGTGTGTATGATGTTGAAAAGGCAAGATATATGAAAGAAAAATACTTGATGATTTATGTTGGGATAATTTTGATATTCTATCTTTTTCTCAAACTATTTATGAGTTGCTTAGAGTTACAATCATAGAAATGTCTTGTTGCACTTAATTTATGAGATATGAGATACAATGTTGTCTAAAGTTAAAGAAGCAATATTTAAGCATATAAAAAAGTCAAATGATGAAAACTCATATTTTTGGAGTGTTATTTACATTATTTTGGAGGATAAGTAGAGTAAAAGTAACATGCCTCTACAGTGGCGGAGCCAAGATTTTTTTCATGTGGGGGCACAAGTTATGAATACGAAAAATATTACTAACCTTTTTAACCGAGTTTGAGACCGGCATCAGTGGTTTTAAAAACTTTTTTGTTAGACTTCTATAAAAAAAAAAAGATAAACTACATAATAAAAACTTGCAATCAAGAGCACATGCTATTCATATTCTTCTTACATAACACCTATAATTTCTCCCTCCGAGTCTTCATATTTTGAAATCGTTATACAATCACTTCATTATCAATACTATTAAAAATATTTTTCAATATAAATAATCAAACAATCATTCATCCAGGAGTCTCTCATAAGATTGTGCAAACAATTATTTACAATTTTCATAGCGAAGAATGCTCATTGGACCGTTGTTGTAGCAATTGACAATATCAAAACAAGCTTTCTAAGTAAGAACAGCAAAGGGTAAATATCATTTTTCATTGTCTCAACCATTTTTTGTGCAAATTCTCCAATTCCTCTTAAATTGTTGAATGCATCACTATATTTCATATCAATGATAAATCTCAAGTTGGCTATTTAATATAATGAGATCTATATCTGAAAAATCTGACGACTACATGGTCATATGTATCATTATTTTGTCATTTTTTTACTTTTTTTTCACATTATGTTCCTTAGGATTAAGCTTTTATTTATAAGCATGTTTTTAATTAATACATTTAAGTGATTGTATTAACACTCAAGTAGTTACAACTCTGATCCAGACAAGAGTGTAACTCTAACTTAGTGACTTTTTGTGTTCTTCTTTTTTGTCGAGATCTCCTATAAGAGAAAATGCCCATATAATCAATTTTTTTCTTTGGTAAAACACACATATCAAAAATAACTTTTAATGAAAAATGTCTAATTTATATTTTAATTAAATAATTTTTGTTTTTTTTTTAAGTTTATAAAAAAATGCATATGCATATAAAGAAAAGAAATGAATAACATTATTCTAAGTAAAATTTAAGCATAGTTTTATAATTTTTAAATTACTTGAAAATAAATATAATACATATTTTAATGAAATAATTATATATTTAATTCATCATAAAATAAATTAATAATTATAAATTTTACTCTTATCAAATTAAATCAAGAATCAATATACAATTAATTTTTTTTTCTCAAAAATACTAACCGTTGAATAGAAACACCGTATTTTAATAAGATTACCAACCCAAACACCTTAAAGAATCCATCAAGCTGCATCCTCCGACTCTTTAATGGTCCTCATGTTCTGCCTGTCACTCCGTTCTATATTAATTAATCGAACTCCTCCCCTACCCCCTATTTCTCCATTCCAATAAACCAAATAATTGCGAAAAATCCCTAAGGTACCGCAATCTATTCCTTCTTCCTCTGAAGTCTCTGCTCTTAACCTTCTCAAAAAATAAATAGAAAAAATTACCAAAAAAGTTAAAAAAAAAATCACCAAGCCAAGGGGGCCACATGCCTCCGCTAGTGCGCCTTTATATTATTTGGCTCATTCATTAAATCTAAGGTAAATTTTAATATATTCTTTATAATAAAATCTCATTTCGTCAAATGATAATTATCTCATTTTATTTTATTTATACTCTTAAAAAGATATTCAAACAAAAAATAACTTCAAGAGGATCCTCAACATGTTTTCCCATAAAAAATTTTAGAAAGTTCAAATATTAGAAGGGCACGCTTGAAAATTTATTTTAAAATTTTAGAAAGTTCAAATATTAGAAAGGCATGCTTGAAACATTATTTTCCTAATGAGGAGGAGAGACAAATGTTGAATGTAGAGATAGCTAAATTCTTTTAACATTTAAAGGATTTTAGAAATCAAGAATCTGTGTGATGAGTGGAGGATGGATTCAAAGACATGATGGTTGATTCATGGAGTTTCAGCACCTCTACTTCAAGCAATAATCATAAAACTTGGCGAAATGTCCTCCTCTTCTTGTGAAAGAAATTAAAGCACATACTCATTCATCCAATAATAAAAAGAAACAAAATTACTTCACAATAGGATGAAAATTTAGTTTATATGCATACAAATATTCGTCTTATATATATATATATAAGGTAATAACAAGATGAGGGATGTTGCAAGAGATAGCTTTTGGTCCCTCGATAATATGGGAAATTTTGGAGATTGCAAATTTTTCTCATGATGAACCAAAATGAAAAGCAATGTTATTTAATGGTTATGATATTGAAGGCCAAATATAAATATATAATGAAGAAGCTAATCATATTATTCTTTTTAGTAAATAGTTAATAATTGAATCTTAAACCTTGATGTTGTACTAGACAGTTTATGTTTATTATTTTTTTAATATCATAAACTAGACAGCTATTTATGGATCATTCAATTTCATAAAATTAAAGTTAAGAGTTCAATGGCTTATCATTTCTTTATTATTCTTAATATTCAACTTATTTAATTTCTATACACTATTTTTCAGAGTAACTTTTTAAACACCTCAAGATTATGCATATGGCATCTAGATATTCCTTTGTAGTGAATGCATAAATTGGATTACTAGGCTTACAACAGAGGCTATTTTAGGTCGTGTGTGGGATAAACAAATTAACTATCCCAATAACTTTTGGCACCAACTGACATCATCAAGCTCTTCATTCTTGTCTTCTATAAGCTTTATGTTCTTATCAATTGGAGTGTCCATTGGAGTGTCGACAACCTACACCCACTCATTCCAGTTTAATTAAAAAGATCTATAATTAAACCTTTAATGCTACTTTCTTACAATTTTTGTCCCCTTATTTTTGCTAGCTTAGCATGAGACCATTTCTATAGTGTAGAAGAAAAAACAAAATCCACAGACACGCACTACTGCTACAAAAACGAAAAATTCACGCACAAATAACTAGATTTCCTTTAACAATTGGACAAATGTAGTCGCATGTAACTGTGCAAGCATTAACAGATGAAAACTAAGAAAATGTTAAACTAAGTTTCCTCAAAGATGCCAAATTAAACATTAACAATTTAACAATAAAAAAGAGAATCCATAGATAACATGAAGCAATGAATGCTATATACATTTGGACCAGAGAATTAAATTGGACTCGTCTCATTTCTCAGCAAATTGTAGCAAAGAACAACAAATGTAGAGCCTAAACATACAAAAACAACCAAGAACTGCAAGGAAATGTGAAAAATGGCAAACGCTCACATACCTTGGGCTCTTTCGTCGAGTTCTCTCATGGTGGAGAGAAGCCTTCGGAGCTCCGCCGCCAACGTGCTCGAATCTTCCACACCAAGAGCACAAAAGAAAAATGAACACAAACAAGGCTAAAAGCATATGAACGGTAAACTTCTAACTAACAGGAAGTAATCCTTACACTCCAAATAATCGTCGACGAAAACGCCCGTTCTCGCAATCGCCATATCTTCGCGCTTTAGGGTTTCTTCGCTTTACTCCAGTACGAAGAGTCTCGTTTTGTTAGTTAAGCTAAGAACCGTAATTATAAAAAATAATTCTTTATTATTAAAAATGTTTCTTTTATTTATTACTATATAGCACAACTTCATCCGTTGGCTTTATGTCATAGTATATTCTATGCAGTGTGTGGTAAAATAGGTGATATATTATTTTAAAAAAAATTGATCTTATGTTGGAGATTTATAATGCTTTTTTAAAATTATTTATTTACACAATAGTAATATTTTTTTGTTTCTTTTTTTTTTTTTGCTCTTATCTAATGATCCGGGGCATAAGTCTCTGCGTGAAGAACAAAAAAAAATATTAGATTTGTTTTTATGTTTTCCTTTATTTTTTCATAGGTAAAAAAGATATATTGGGTTTAAAGCTCAAGTATGTGATGTCTATTTGTCTTTGATCGACTCAAAAGTCTAAAAATAATAATAATAAAAAATCAATACAATTTTTTGCCCCTTTGCTAGTCCTAGTCTCCTACTCTTAGTTACTTCTTATTCTTTTATGTTTCGTTTGGGAATACTTTCTCACTGTTTTTTAAAGCATATTTTTAGTACAAAATTTTAATTTTTGAAATAAAAAGCTGCTTAAGGAAGCAATAATAAAATCGTCCTGAACGAAGCCTAAATCTAAAAGGCTTACTTTCTTAAATATTTGTTACTTGGATGAAAAGGTTATATTCTAAGACGACTAAGTGGATGAAAGAGCTAAGCCTTGGATTATAGCTCTGGTGAATTGTGATATTGGCAAGCCGCCTTTATATAGTAGTCTTATGTCAATGGTTAATAGATTGTAAAAACTCAAATGTACTTTTGATATTTTTATCAATGACTTCTGATTTAATTCTTAAGACATAAAGATTTTGAGAATGATAAATGTGATGGTCTATGGTTTATCAATGATAGTTCATTTATTATTAAGCAATGGTCATGTTTGTTTAAGCTTGTGAAAGAGGATTTTAAAGACATAAAGTTTGGATCAAGCTATTGAAGTCACCTTTCTATTGCTAGTAAGAATAGGTGTCTCCAAAATTGATAGCAAAATTAGTATACCATTAGCTATTGGTACACTATTTTGAATTATTGTCATAATTGATAATTTTGATTGATTATAGGGTGGGGGGATATATCAAAGTAGAATGGAATTGAATTTGAATATTTTTGGGTTGTAGACTTAGAATGGAATTGAATTTGGCTAGGAACTTATCTACATTGATCATAAGAAGCTTTATCAATTCTATTAAATTCACTCTCATTGTCTTTCACCTTCCTTTTATTTGATCAAATTTAAGGATTACGAGATCTTTAATGATCTCTTTGATGCAAGAAATTAGAACAAAAATAAATAAGAGAATTCCTTAAGAACTCATATTAAAAGTTAATAAATAATTGAACTACCTTTGGGAAAATCTTTGAAAGTGGTGGAAGAAATAAGACATGATGTGTCTAATAATTTTATGAGGACAAATAAATCTAAAAAAATGTCTAGATTATCAAAAGATTCATTAATACCTTTACGTACATTGATTTGTGGAACTTTAAATTTTAATTGAGTAACTTTTTCCACTATTTTGAGCATGCTCAAAGAATATTTATGCACAAAACTTCTCGAATGATGAGGAGAATCATGGATTGTATCACCATGCACTTGTTTAGTAAGTGAGCAATCAGAGTAGATTTAAATGTATAAGTGGCATTTGCTTGGTATGTGATTTCAAACAACTACTAATGAATGTCTTATGATCATACCTCTAATTATTCCATAGTGAAAAAGGCATCACTAATAAAGGGTTTCTCCCAAGTGGTGTTCTAAATGTGTTATGTTAGATTGCATAGGATATTCAGATTGAGAATCATCTATATTATTTTTTTATCAAAGCTCTTTTTCTTCTAATTTAATAATTGAATTCCCATAGATGACTCCAAGGATGTGAATGATGGAAGCTCATTTATTCATGATACGAAAAGAGCAAACACCTTAAGAGTTTGAGGATTTAGAAAGAATCATGTATGGTTTACTCTACTAGGGGGCTAAGAAAGGAAAAAAAAACTCACTAAGGGAGATGAATATAAGATTTATAGTGGTTTAGTTGAGTGGCTTAGATCAATTATTGAGATATACGAGAGAAATATGCAATATATGAGAAGATTATAGTACAATAAGGGAGGATAAGAATTGCATAGCAAACTTCACAAGATGGGAAAAACATTATTAGAGAGAGAGAGAGAGAGAGATTAAAATAGTGAGATTGATAGGGACTAAGGTTGATCCTCCATATGTTTTTTTCTAGATTTAGATAAGAGAAAATGTATAGCCAATATGATATATCCCAAAAGAAGATCGTGTTATTAACCGCTTCAACATAAATTGAATTTCCCATAGTGACCTAATTTGGACTTGATAAGATTAACATGCTTATTTAGCATTTATTAATTTCTATAAATTAGTAGGACTATTTTTATGTCTAGTTTAGCCTAGATAGAATTCATGATTTGAATTGGGAGAAATTTTTGATAAGTGGAAGTGGACCTTTGAGAGCGCTATGACGTTGTCTTGTTTGTAGCGTTGTGACATTGTCATGTGACACTACGGTCCTCTCTATGTTTTCATGAATTCATAAGTGGAAAGTGTCTCTTGGAAGCATTGTAGCACAATCATATAGGGAGCTATGGCGCAATGTTCTATATTTTTTGGAATAGTGATAGTCCCTTAGGGATGCTGCCACCACCATAGTAGTGGACATCATCGCCCTAAGAAAAATAATTTTTCTATGAATATCCAAATCCACTATTGCATATCATTTTATCTCATTTCTAAAAATCATGAGAGAACAACGAAAGAGAGAATGAGAGAGGAAAAGATAAATTTTAAAGAGCGAAATTCAATTTCATTGGACTTAGGATCGTTTTAATTCATCGAGCAAGTTGGAAAAATTGTTTAGCTCGAGATAGGTTACATTTATCCTACCTTCTTTTTTAATATTTTTGTGACTTGTAAATTTTTTTATCTAATTTAGAAAAACTTCACAAAAATTAAAATATATCGAAGTACAAGAAGTTTTAATCCCATAAATTTTAGTATGTTGTTGTTCTAGTGATTCTATATATATGGATATAATTATTTTTTATTTTTGCTAGATATTTTTGTTTGTGAGATATTTAAAGTATTTTGATGATATTTTGATAAGAATGCAAATAAAATATTGAGAGCACCATTACCAAGCTATAAATACTATATGTAGCCATGTTTATAATTCATGCATGTGTAGTTGAGTATATTAATAAATCTTGTAAGATTTACTGTTTATATATTATTACATGCAAATGTAAATTACTATAGTTCAACAAAATGATAATTCAATGGTATTGATGTCTTATAAAGCATTTATGCAAGAATTATTATGTGATTTACATGTTATTATGAATTACATGTAAGGGTGTAAATGAATCTAGTCAAGCTCGAGTCACAACAAACTCGAGCTCGACTCATCACTCAAATAAACAGCTCTAACTCGAGCTTGAGCTCGAGCTCGAGTCGGGCCTAGAGAACGAGCTCGAACTCAACTCAGCATTCATTCTCAGGCTCGACTTGATGTACAGTCGCGGTGGGATTTCTGCTTTGCCGAATGAAGTCACGAACCCAAGTGTTGTACGGTTTTATAGTTGGATATCAGGAAAGAAGAAGTGGATATCGGGGAAGAAGAAACTTGTTCAGCTTTTTTTCTGAAAAAACTATCAAAACCTTTTTTTTTAACAGAATCATAAATTAATGCATGGTGAAATAACTTTCTTTTAAAATCTATTGTATAATTTTAAATGTTGTTATTAAACATATAAAATTTGAATAATTGCTTTTAATATATATTTCACTTGAAAAAATATTTTTTATAATATTTAATTTATTTAAACCGACTTAAAAGCCTACGAGCCGAGCTTAATCAATCTCGAACTCGAGCTCATTTAATAATCGAGCTTGAGCTCTTGGCTTGAAATTAAAATTAGACTCATGAGCTTGTTAGCGAGTTGAGTTCGAGCCGGCTCACGAGCCAGCTCGATTCATTTACACCTCTAATTATGTGTACATGTGAAATACTTTGGAGGTATAAGGGACTAATATTGTACATATGAAATACTTGGTAGGTATAAAGACCTATTGTACATGTTAAGTACTTGGCTGGTATAAGGGCCTAATATCATATAGGTGAAGCATTTGGGATTAATATTGCACATGCAAAATACTTATGAGGCATAAGGTTTTGATATTGTGCATGTGAATTGTGAAATCCCTTAAGTGAAAAGAAGTTAAACTCTTAAAAATTAAAGCGTGTTTTGGTATAATGGTTGGAATTTCATTAGGAAACAACAATATTGAGATGAGTGAACTTCTAAAAAGTTACACTAACGTGACAAAATTGCGAGTCCATTAGGCTAAAGCAGACAATATCTCGATATTAAGAGTTTGCGCTATTGCATGAATTATTTGGGAGGTATAAAGACTTGTTACTGTATATGTGAAATTTTTAGGACTGATATGATACTTGTGAAATATTCAAGTGGTATAAAGGCCCGAGAAAAATTGATGTAATGTATTCTATTTCAGTTATATGTTGATTTTAATCTGACACATGTATTTATATTAAATGTCTATGTTGACATTAAGCATGATATAATAATAAAAATGACATGTTTAGACATTGTATTCGTATTACTATTGTGAGTAGGATTATTAAAGTTCTATAATTATAACATGTATTATTTCTATCTTGGTAATAAAATAAGCTATCATTTACTATCTTTTGGTAAATTAAAGACTTTGGTAGGTTTTGGATAACCTAACAAGCATTTGATGTTTATTCTACATATGTAAATTTTATGATAGGAATTAAAAAAAAAAACAAGTTGAGTAGAGATGGAATTGATGGATTCTCATTTATAGGTATGCATTTCATTAGTTATCATTTTTGCAATCATATTGATATTGTATAATGATGGACATCGATCAGTGTACCATGACTAGTGTAAATGAATATTTTGA